CTGTTCTAGGGATGCCGAAGTAAGAGGCTCCCTGGCTATCTTTAATTCTTCACTGCAGAACACTGCCAGTTAAGTACTGGCTGCTCTGATTCTTAGAATTGTCTTACTAAACCTCCAAGACTATTTTCTCCATGAAAAGACCGCACAGAATATGTACACTGAACATCAACAAAACAAAAAGCAAAATTTGACTAGCATTGAAATAAAGGTCAATCTCAACAAGGGTAAAACTTGCCTCTCATTTTCAGCCTTCAGAAGGTAAAGAAAGCAGAGACCCATGAGTAGGCTAAGAAACACCACTATTACAGCAGGGATAAGGTCTAATTTGAAGAGCAAAGACTTTGAAATTTTTTTAAAAAAAGGATTTTTTTCCAAGGTCATCTTTTGCATATCCACTTACCTGTGAAACTAGTGTGGGTTTATTTACTTTGTAGGATCGTTATCTGCTTAAAAGTTCCCAATGAATAATTGATGCTTCACAACAGGGGTGGGGGGTGGCTATACAAAGTGCTTTCATTGTAAGGAAAAGAGGCCCAATCTCAGGGGATTCAGGTTGTTTTTTTAAAAAACTGTATTGCTATAGCAGACTCTTAAGGTGGTCCCCAGGATCCCCACTAACACCCTCTTCCTGTTCGTTTTGTATAATTGCCTCCACTTGAACATCCTAAGACAACTCTATCTTGCACCATCTTCCTCATAGACTGGCTCTAGAAACTTTTTACCTATTCACTGAATATAAGCAGCCATGTTGGGAAACCCCACATGGCTAGGAACTGAAGGTAGCCTCCAACTTGGAAAAAGCTTGGGATCTCAGTCCTTATAGCCAAAGGAAATAAATTTAGCCACAACCTGAGTGAGCTTGGAAAGATTCTTCTATCCAGCCTCCAGATGAGAAGGCACTCCAATTGACACCTCATTGTAGCTTTTGAGACCCTAAACTTAAGTCCCTGCTAAGATGTGCCCAGACTCCATAACCACAAAAAGATAAAAGATGTGTGTTGTGGTTATTTGTTGTGCAATAGATAGCTTTTTACAAACCTAACTCAACAATTTCATAGTAGCTAGATAAGATACTGGCCTAAACATTTGGACTATCCCAAAGCATTAAGACTTACTAGGAGCTCTGGTAGCGTAGTGCCTAAAGCATTTAACTGCTAACCAGAAGGCTGGCGGTTCAAACCCACCAGCCACTCCTCGGAAGGAACATCAGGCAATCTACTTCTGTAGTGATACTGCCTCAGAAACCCAAGGAGGACTCGCTATGAGCCGGGTCCGACTCGACAGCACTAACAACAATAACCAGGTCAGCGGTTCAAAACATCCAGCTGCTTTGCGGAAGGAAGATGAGGTCATCTATTTGGAAAAAGATTTACAGCCTCGGAAACCCAATGGGGTCACCATGAGTTGGAATCAACTCAGTAGCAGTTTGGTTTTGTTTAACAGTATAGCTCTGGTGGCACAGTGCCTAAGCCATTTGACTGCTAACCAGAAGGTTGGCAGTTCAAACCCACTAGCCACATGGTGGAAAGTAGATGGGGCAATCTTATAGAGATTTACTGCCTCAGAAACCCAATGGGGTCACTATGAGTTGGAATGGGAGTTTTGGTAGCATAGTGCCTAAGGCACTTGACTGCTAACCAGAAGGCTGCCAGTTCAAACCCACCAGCCACTTCTCGGAAGGAAGGTTGGGCAATCTACTTCCGTAATGATACTGCCTTGGAAACCCAAGGAGGGGTCGCTATGTGTCGAGTCCGACTCCATGGCATATAACAACATGAATTGGAATAGACTAGATGGCAGCGAGTTTACTTTTTAATAGTATAAAAAGTGGTCCTCACTATCCATCTCAGGGTAATAAGGCAACTTGTTTTCAAAACTTTCTGACATACTCTTTGAATTCTTCATTATTGTGTGAAGTAAGTGGCTAAATTTATTTTACTTAATAGGCAAGGATGCTCACAAAGGCCAAATGACTCAAATGGCTAATAAGGGCCAGAGTCAGGAACTAAAGAATATAGGTCAAAATCTGCCTTTTCCTATAACTAACTTGTAACTCTCAATGATGCTTCCTATGATGCCCGCACACAACGAAACATTACAGACATTAAAATATTGGGGACACTTGGTCTCAAAGTCATCTCATTTACTAAGTTAATTTTTGTGCATTACAGTTAAAATGTCTTAGTAAAAAAGAAACCAAACTTAGTAATATTCCCTCATGGCCTGTTATAAAACTAAGGGATTATACTGAATAAAGAGGTCATTGGTAGGTTGGTGGTAGAATTCTCACCTTCCACTTAAGAGATCCAGGTTGAATTCCCAGCCAGTACAGCTTACGGAAGTTGTTGTTGTCATGTGCCCTCAAGTCACACACCCCCCACTCATAGCAACCCCTCCTTGGTTGCCGAGGCAGTAACACTACGGCAGTAACACTACGTAAGTAGATTGCCCAACCTTCCTTCCCAAGAGCGGCTGGTAGGTTTGAACCGCCAGCCTTCTGGTTAGCAGTCAAGTGCCTTAGGCACCATGCTACCAGAGCTCCTAGCTTATGGAAGGGAGCTCTGGTAGTGTAGTGTCTAAGGCATTTGACTGCTAACCAGAAAAGCTGGTGGTTCAAACCCACAAGCCACTCCTTGGAAAGAAGATTGGTCAATATACTTCCGTAGTGATACTGCCTCAGACACCGAAGGAGGGGTCACTAAGAGTTGGATCTAACTTGACGGCAGTGAGTTTTTTTGGGTTTTTTTTTTTACAGCTTATGGGCAGCCAACATCAGTCTGTTAGTGAAGGATTGTATGTTGCTATGATGCTGAATAGGTTTTAGCAGTTTCCAGACAAAGACAAGCTAGGAAGAAAGGCCTGGTGACCTATTTCCAAAAATCAGCCAATCAAACTCTATGGATCACAAAGGTCCAGGCAACATTTACTTCCATTGTGCACGGGGGCAACATGAGTCAGGGAGTGACTTCAAGGCAGCTAACAAGTATCTGTGAGGACTGAAAACATTATTCTTACCAAAGAAGATCTTTCAAACAAAATCACACAAAGCCTTTTTATTTTCTAATAAGACTAAATTTATTCAATACCCTAGTAAAAGTTTTGATTATAAGTATCCAATAGTATAAAAAGTACAAAACAGATTTGTAGATTTCTAATATATTAATACAAAGTGCATGACTACATACAGTAACCCTACAGGCAAAGAGGTGGAAGGGGAAAAAGAAGACTGTGGTTGAGCTCTAGTAATAAATAAATAAATACAGAAGTAGAGATGACCCATATTATAGTATATTCTACCACCAATACTGTAGCCAAAATGTACAAAAGAGAGAGAGAGAAAGAGAGAAGAAACCTTTTCAAACAAAACTCAGAGGGAAGATGGTAAGGCTGGGACTCTTGTAATATACCTCAAAAGCTGTGGGAGAGGTGACCCAACTCACTGTGTAGTCTGTGCATATGGTGGCATGTAGCATGTAGGCTTATTCCAAAAAGAGAAATATAGAATCTTAGATTAGTTTAGATTATGAACTATAAAACTATAGGATGCCTATAAAAAGTGGCTCACTCCTTATTGGTATGTATACTATCCAATTTTTAAAATCCAGTTTTAAAAATAAGCAATGACTATTGCTACTATAAGGTAGGCAAAATGCTCCTCCCTCATTATGAAATATCTTAACTGGTGATAGTTTTTTCCTGAACTTTTAGAAAAGAGGCAATGAGAGTACTTTGGTTTGGGATCAAGTGAAGAGTCCTTTAATGAAGATCTTAGACTTGAAGACATCTACATTCAGGATTTATTTATCACCCAAAATCTCAATGTTCAGAAAGGTTGGCTAAACGAAGCCAAACCAAAAATCAACCCATTCAGCAATGGCATACACCTCTTTTCTTTCAGTAGAATTGTACTTTAAATATACTGGGGTGTGGGGGGGTGGGGAGTGGAGGGGGAGGCAACTAATAGTTAAAACCAGTCAAACACCCACTCTACAGAGATAAAACCTTCACAAAGGTCAACTGAAGTAATCCAGAGCCAGAACTGAATTGTGCAGATTTTCAATGAAGCCACCAAACAGTCATTATAACACAAAAGTCAAATATTTACACACTAGGCAAGCCCTCCAAGAAATGTGCCCCAAGAAGCATTAACCTTTGTTTTACGCCAACTTCAAGACTTGCTCATTTTATTTTCCAGATAGTTTCATGTTTTTAATAGAGTGTGCTCTCTATCATGTGGTAATGCTTTGGTACCAATTTAGGCTTGCTTATCTTAAAAACTTGTCATTTCCCCAAGAGAAACTTTGATTCTGGTTTGGAAGTTTCATATAAATTATTTATCAAATATTAATATGGAGGGAGATGAAACTAGATGCAACATACACAGTCAAATTACTTCACTGTATACTGAGTCATTACTTTTTCCTTCAAGGTTATTTGTACCTGAAAGCTTAGTTTGTCTTGCTTAATATTTCAGTAGTATAAGGTTTGAATCATTAGAACATTGACACAAGACCTTAATATTTCAAAATTATTAACAAATACCTCTAGGGGTAGGTTCATGTTACTGAGTAATGACAAATTTATCATCATGAGGTTAAACAAGTATAGCCAGCCATCTTTAAAAAATGCCCCAACCACTGCTTCTCAATATAGAAAGACTGAAACTACGTACGGTTTATCATACAACAAAATCCCATCTCTGTCCCCTGAAATTCCCCTTTTCATTCATTAGAAGGGGATTTTTAAAAAAAGACTTAAAGAGCACTTTACAGCAGCATTCAGCTTTCCTATGAAATACTCAGCATCTTAAATATTATGTACATTTTTTTTTTTTTTTTTTAAGTGAGAACTAGATACTGGCTTCAAAGTTTGTGGAACTGGGGAGAAAAATAACACATTCAAAACCATTCTACATATTGTCTTTTGGCGGAATAGCAAGTATCCGAGTTAAAAACAGGAGGGTTACTTAGTTGCATCTTTCCAAATTTTAAATCATTTTGTGTTCCCTTTCTACATACACCTCAGTCACCACTCCTGAGTGGAGATGGGGAGAGGCTCTGGCCCCTGCTCCTCTGGCTTCTCTGCAGCTGCTTTCTTATTGCTGCAGCAAGGCTTGAAGAGATGAGTGTCAATGAGGACTTCCCCAAAACGGCCTTTATAGATAATCCCACAACATATTTTCTGTCTAAAATAAAAAACGGGGGAGAGAGAAAAATTAATTAGTAAGGCAGAAAAACAGGAATGAAAAAAAGGGGGGGGGGGTAGAAATCTACTTAGTATAAGTAGTATAACATGATGAAAAAGGTCCTGCTTCTGCAATCTTACCACATTTCACACAAATGTGTTCCTAAAGTGACCCCAGTTAGTTAAGTGATGGAAATTACCCAGGTCCCTTAAAGGCCACACTGGAAATTTATCAAATATTAAAAGGGAAGACATTCTGAGAGAAAAGTTTCAGAGGCTACTCCTGAAAGGGAAAAAAAAAAAAAAAAAAAAACACTGCTATATGTGATGAAAGCAGGGGGAAGGAAACATTACACTGTGGGAGAGGAAATAACCGTTCGATAAGCATGTAATATAAAACAGTTTTGGCAACTGTCTTCCTCCTTCTTCTCCCTCAAATTTAGAAATGGCCCATAAACCCATCTTTTCTAATATTTTACCAAAATGATGTTTTATTTGAAAATAAACAGTACCAATCACAACTCTCTACCATGCAATAGTCTCTAGAGGAATCTCCAAATATTTAAAGTAAACTTCCTACTGATATGTAATACACTTACAGAGAAGGACACAGCTCTTGCCCAAACTTTATTATTATTTTCACCAAACCTTTTTTATTTATTTCTCCAATTAGCAAAATGAAATGTCAGCAGGTACTCCTAACATAGTTCTTTTTTGAGTTGTGCACATATAGCACTGTGCCAATATTATGTACATTATTTTTAAAAGATACAGAAACAGAGGGAAAGGAAAGAATGAGAAGAAATAAACAGAAATAGACATTCTACTGTTTACTTTGTACACCTTGACCAGCCTTGCATATCATGTTGGATATCACAGTTTTAGAGATAGTGACAACATGCTGCATTCACAACCAGATGAACTGGAAGCTCTATCATGGGCTTGGTCACATCTGGTCTCAACTGCACATCAACTCAATCTCTACAAATACACTGGACAGACATCTAAGCTGTCCTAAAGGTTCAGGACTATGGTCACAAAACTTGTGATATCCAAGAATTGCATTCCACATTGGCATCTCTTCATCTGCAACAGCAGTATTCTGGAGTAAGTGCATTTGGAGAAGAACACAGGTGTATTTTCTTTCTCTTTTGTGATACTGAAAAACTAACTGCAGAAAATGATAAGGGTTGGCTTTTAATTTTTGTTAAAGATTAAAATTAACAAAAACCAAACCAAACCTACTGCCATTGAGTCGGATCCAACTCATAGCGACACCTCCTTGGTTTTCCAAGGCAGTATCACTACAGAAGTAGATTGCCCAACCTTCCTTCCAACGAGTGGCTGGTGGGTTTGAACTGCTAGCCTTCTGGTTAGCAGTCAAATACCTTAGGCACTATGCCACCACAGCTCCCAAGATTAAAATTATTTTAGTCAAAAGGAAATAGATTTCTCTTAACATTTAAACATGTTTCTAAGACCTACATTTGAGCTGAAATAATTACTTAGCTTACTGTGCATGAAGGATTGGATTAGCTCCAGTTCTAGCTCTACCACTAACTAGATGAGTGACCATTAGGTAAGTTTCTTCATCTGTAAAATGAGGGCATGAAAATGGATGATCTCCAATCTCCTGTAATTCTGTGATAATAGACTAGTCTCAAGAGTATTATGTGTGACTAGCACCACCTTGTGGACATTCATATAGTAATATAAGGGACACTACATCATCAGGTCAGAGAAGCTGCTGGTTAAAATAGCAACAAAGGGGTCAATTCCTCCAAGTAATACTATATGGCAGCCCTGTCAACAATTTTTACTGGGTATATATGACATACTTTCTCAGAAGAAAATGCAAATCATAATATTCAACTATACTATAACAGACTTCTTTTTGCTTAAAGACATTTCTTCCTTTTGAAGATTGAGAGCCTGGCATCCCAAGGATATTCTAGAAAGTCAGGAAGACATTCCTACTGCATCTCCCATCACTGGCTTATTTGGAAAAGAAGAAAGTTATGAGACCTGAAATCTGTCTGATGGAAAGTTTAAGAACTGCTAGAGCCAAAAGCACCCCTGAAGTTGTGTGCTCGGGTGGCCACAGCATAACTGGGAAGACAAGGTACCATTTCTGTAGAATACAGTTGGTATGGTGCTCCCTTGATATTGTTCCAGGAGGCTATGCTGGCCACAGTGGACAACTGGCTTTGCTTAAACTAACTTTGTTGGGAGATTTTAGCCTGGAGGCTGAAGTGTGTTTTACTATTTCAGCATGTTTTATGAATTGGTTCCACAGTGCTGATAAACTACAGCCCAATTTTCTCTTTCAAAAATCTTCCAGAGTCTGTCTTGGCCTCCCCCTGCATTTCAGCACACTTTTGTGTAGCTTAATTATGTCTGGCAAAGCTTCATACCATCTATACAATTTCCCAATCCTGGAATTCATGTGCTGCCAAAGCATAATAACGTTGTAGTGAATACATTTTCTCATGTAAGCACTGAAACCTAAGAAAGCCTTTTTCTCTCTCTTTTTTTTTTTGGTCTTCATGTGAACTGCTTAAGACCTTCTCTAAGTTTACCATAATTATAT